AAAAGGTCTGGAATCTTATTTGGGCCGGTGGGCCAATAGGTGGGTTTTTCAGAAGATTGGTATGTACAACCAAGTTCTGATGCAGCTTGGTGCAATTCTTTTCCTTTGACTGTGGTTAATCTTGAACCCCAGTTTGTGTGTTTGGAGTTATAATCTCCACCGATTATAAATTTGTTACCTAGTTTTTTGAGTACATTGAGATAATTTTCTTTTTTCTGGTTGTATCTTGGTGGGCAATAGATTGCAGCTATTGTAATTTTGCCCCCCCTAATGATAATGGTGCTAATGGTTACCTGATTTTCTGGTTCTTGGATGCCTGGTTCCTCATAGTGGGAAATGTTATTTTTAATAATTAACGCACTTCCTCCACTTGCTGCATTTGATGGATGGATAGTGTGATAGAAGTTATATCCTCTGAATTTAATGTAAGGTGGGTCTCAGAAATCAGACATATATCTATTTTTTGTACGTCCAAGAAAACTTGGATATGTTTGTTTTCGGAGAATTCCATTTGCATTCCAAGTGGCTATTCTAATATCTCTTTTGTCCATTGATGGTTTTGTTTTATGTTTGGGGTTTATTTAATTCTTCTAGCTTCTGGATCCTGTCAGAGAGTGAATCTATTCTGGTTATTAAGGATAATAATAATTCATGAGTAGTACTTTCTGCTAAGCTGGTTGACTGTAAAGTATGCTGCGCAATTTGTGGTGTGGGATTCATGGTTGGTTGTGACCTTTGAATTGGTTGCTCCTGTGAGTTTGTTACTTGAGAATATGTTATTTCATTTCTGACAATAGGAAAAGCGTTTATAGACCTCTTCTGCCTCGTCATTATTTTAGGTTTAGTGATGTTATCCCACATCCCCAACTAGCCATTCATAAAAGTGTATTTGTTGTGAAGTTCTCATCATCATCTATTGTATAGTCCAGGAGACAGTGACGATTTTCGGTATTTATTTTCCCAGTCAGCAAGCACGAATAGAGAATTGTAGGATTAGCAATTCTAAGCAAAATTCATATATATTTAGAGGGGGGATCCGATGGGCTGAGGCCGAAAATGCGTCAAAACATACGAGAACACGGTCCTTTTTTTCCATTGATAAAAATAGTTTTAGTAGTAAGAGATGTACTGAAGTTAAGTAAAAAAATAGTCTGATTAATCTGTATGGATAATATATTTGGCAAGTGCATAAAATACACTTTCAAACGAGTTATGTACACAATTATTTCTACGATCACAATTATTTAAAGAATGTTCCAGGTGTTTTGTATATTAAAGTGTACGCATAGGACACATAAATAAAATCTTATATCACAATGTTTCACCTAACCAGTTGGTTTATTTATAGAAATTAAACATAATAATTGAAGATATATATATATAAAAATAGGGAAATAAATTACATTTCCTTTTACACTTTTATATAATAATTGTTTTATTTAGAATTCACGAATCACTTATTATTCTACATTAAATATAATTATTGTTAGTTTCGTTATGTCAAATCATTTATACTAGAGGTGTGAGGAAAATACAGTGAACTGTGGAACGCCAATATCGTTGGATGCGCGTGGTAGAAATGGTCCTATAATACTGCTAAAAACTTTTGACATTTGCGATACTCCGACGTATATGCATTATTGATGTAATCTCATGATTTTACAGTAATAGTTTTTGCAATTTTAGTGTGATTTTTAGGTTATTATGGTTATTCATTTTATTTGGTTCTGATCTTTTGCGCTTTTAGAGTATTTGTCTTTTATATAGTTTTTAATTTGAATTTTAATATTGTGGTCTATTTATATTTGATTGCTGCTTTTCGACTAGTGCTTTATTCTTTTTCTGTTAAAATAAGCTTTATAACCATTAAGTACATGCTTCTAGTTGATATCTACCTAATCGTCATCGGGTGCTTGCAACAATGGGAAAAAGTGTATGGTTTTTTTGGTGTAAAGTTAGACGCCTTTATTTTTCAGGTAAGTTATTTGTAGTTATTTTTTACTTAAAAGGATAGCAATACGTCCTGGTTCGGAGTGTGACTTTTGGGTTTTAGCTATCTGAGCCAAATTGTCGGCTAAGTGTCCTCTTTTAGGGCACCCAGAACCGAAAACTATATAGGTATATAATGTTTTTTTTTAAATTATTTTTTAATATGTATGCAGCTTGGATGAAGGCTTTAGGAAGATATCCTAAGACTGAAAACTGACTGCTATAAATGCCGTTTTTAGAGCACATTTCATAGTAAGTGATTTCATTCTAGCAGCAATGAGGAAACGTTTAAAAAACATGCTGTACCAGCTATTACTTTAAGACCTCGTCTCTTTAAGTTATTATTATTACTGCATTCTAATGCATATATTAAAATGGTTTTTAACTTATGTCCTTATGATTAAAAGATGTAGGTATTTTAGTTATATTATAATAGAAATATATGATACTTTGTATTGACTGACCTACTGGCCACTGGTCATTCCACTTTTACTCCCTTTTTTCATAAATTATCAAATTATTTAAAAACAAAATACATACCTAGCTATTTTCTGTAAATTACATTAAAATTTTAGTATTAATACTTTACTAATAAAACTTCATTTAATTTATCTTATATATATACACACAACGGAAGAGTTAATTGGATTTTCTCCTTGTTGAGTTTCAAAAATAGGCCTGCAAAGACACTTTGTAAACAATCTCACTTGTATCGATGTGACGTAATGCGCGAATTCAATCTGGCTTACTTTTGTTAATAGATTGGCGTTCCATTTTAAATATACAGTTCACCGGGAATTGATTATTTAAATATACACGGACCGGGAAAACAAGTACGAAAAAATTCACTGGCTCCTGGACTAGTACTGTATCGAAGGAATTTTTATGAATGAAACAATATACGACCCTCCACAATTGCGGTCTACTCTACTTCCGCTGTTGTCAGACATTATTTTTTTTTTTTGACAATTTAAAGACCTAACAGTAATTCAAGCAAACGCAATAACATTACTACAGTTAAAAACATCGCAAACTTGGCATCAATATTTTAATTTTATCCAAATATTGCATTTCTGTCGAGGATCATCCGCGTTGACTTCAGAAATTGTGTAATCTTTATTGGTTATATATATCTATAGTTAAAAGCACGTAAACTTGGCATCAATGTTCAATCCGATTATTGAGTTTCTACCGCGGACACCACCGTTCATTCTTCAAAAATTTTGTAAATAATCCTATCTGTCTTGGTTATATATCTATGTGTTATCCTTCCTTATCTGAAAGGTTTTAGCTACCTCACATCCTTTGTAGTTAGCAGGATGTTCCATTAGGCAGTTTATACACTTCGGTTGTTGTTCTGGACTTTTTACACAATCCTTCGTATGATGTTTTCCTACGCACTTTACGCATCTTGATTCTCTTTTGCAAAAGTTGTGCGTATGTCCAAATAGCTGGCAGTTTTTGCATTGCGGAACTAGTTTTGACTTTCTTATCGTTTCTATTCTAACTCTTAGATTAAGGATTGCTTTGATTTCGTAAATTTTCTTAATATCTTCAATATTTTCGAATGATAGCATGAATAGGGGCAATGGTTTTTTATTTAGTTTACGAGTGTCATCCTCGGTTAATTCTATTTCCTTCTTTATTATATTGACAGCTTATTTACATTTTAATCCTTGACTTTGCAAGTCTTCAACAATATCTTCTGGTTTAGATGTAGATGGTAGACCTCTAACCATTACTTTAATGTCTCTGTTCTGTTTAACTTCATAGGAATGCCAATTTATTTCTTTGGCATTCAAAGTTGATATGACATTTTTGAAGTCTTCTTCTTGTTTAGTATTAATTTTAAACTGGTTATTGCTTAGAGCTGTGGTTTGAAAGGAAATATTATTTTCTGCCAGTGTATGGCGCAATTCTTCATACTTATTGATGTTGCTTGCTATTATCGGGGGAAATTTCACTGTTTTTTCGACTGTTTCTTTCTCTTGTTGTTGATTTTTGCTACCTCCAGGTTGGCCAGGAGATTTTTCAGGAGAGGAGATGTTTCAGGAGAGGAGTTGGCTTTTCGTTTTTTTCTTCTATTGTTTCTGCTTTCCGCTGTTATCCATTCTATTTCTTTGTTAATTTGATCGCCGATTTCTTTTGCCAGCTCTTCTTCATCAGTTTCATAATTCGTTGGAATTTCAGATTTTTCTTTGTTTAACATATTAATTTATTTTTGCATATTTTCCATATTGTTTTGCATTTGTTGCAATGCACTTTCTAGTTGCTGTTTTTCAGCTTTTTCCTGTATCCAAGCATTGTACAATGCCTGTTCATTCTGACTTCTAGCTTGATTTTCATGGAATAAGGCCTGATATTGTTGGGCTAGGAGATTTTCTCCCACTTCCATTGTTTCCATATTATTTGTTTTAGTTACCTGAAGCAGGTCCTGTTTTTTTTGCTCCAAAAGCACTTTGGCAGGTGTCGATTCTGTTTTATTATTTTTTTCTACACATTGTAAAACTATTTTCAATGGCACATTATTATTTTTATTTTTGTTCTTAAACATTACGTTTAGCAGTCTAAAGGCGAATGGCGCGACCTTTAGTAAACTTTTACAATGGATTGATATGTAAGAAGCCGGGCCACTGGTCGATGTGCTCGGATAGACGGCGTACAGTCTATTGTTTGAATTATTAAATTTGTTGTGTCTAGGAACTATAAGGCGCAAGTTTTTTCAACGGGATCAAATTAAATAATTATAAATAATTTATATAATGTATCGTTTAGTCATAATTTGATCAATATAAAAATAAATATTTTTAGAGACCGAAATATTTATAAATTTTGCGCCATTGCCAAGGCCCTTTAGCCCCTCAGGACAAGCCGCCACTGATCATAATTATCAGAAACAAATCTGTTAATTACTTAGGTAATTAAAACTGCAAAATACGTTTAAGTAATAAGTCATCTTTAATAATCACAAGAAATTGTTGGCTAGTTCTAAATACAAAACTAAATAAAAAAATATATCACTTTTCTGATTGATAAAATTTTTTTAGTTTTCTCAAAACTTATTATTGGTGTATGATAAAAAATATATTAGACAATTTTTGGTTTTATTAAACTATTAGGTAGAGAAAATAAATATTTTTAATATATTTTTTATTTTTTGTAATTTTATCTCAAAAATGAAAAATGTATATGAATTGGTGAAATAGTCCTGACCTTAATGAAAAAATGATTATGAACCAGATTTATTTTTATAAACTTTATGTAATGTTGAATAATCTTTTGGCGATGTTGACTACAGTTGCATTCTCCAAAATGTTGTTGATGTACTGAAAATAAAATAAAAATACGTAAAAATTTGTTTAACTTTTAAAAAGTTAAGATTTAATACAACAAAAAGAAACGTGCTGTTGATTTCCGAACAAAATATCTTCCTACGTGAAATATACAGGGTGTCCTTTAAAATGTGTCCCAAAATTCTCAGGCAGATTCCTTAACCAAAAAATGGAAAAAAAGTTCCTATAGACCTATGTCCTAAAGTGCCCCCTAAGCGAGCAACAGCCTCTCGAAATCATTTTTTTTATTTTGATTTTTTGAATTTTCTTAAAAATGGAAACAAATAAAAGAACCAAATTTTGGCTGTTAAATATGATCAATAATAGTGACCTTTTGACACCTTCAAAAAGAAATTATTTCGTCAGGGGTGTACTTGGGAATTTTTTGAAAATTTTGATTATTCATAACTTTTTTGTGTTTTTGATAATGACTTATCCATATTTTTTTTTACATTCTACATTGAAAACTACGTCAAAAAGGAATACTTGTTTGATCTCGATTGGAGCAGCCGTTTCCGAGAAAACATCATCCAAAGATATTCGTGCAGTTTAGGTTAATTTTCAATTTTGGCTGTTGTAGCCAAAAAGTTGGAAATCGAGGAACACGGCTTACATGTCCCTATCCTTACTTTTGAAGGTCTATTCAGTGGCAAAAAATATTAGTTGATACAGGGTGATCAAAAATCGGATGTGATTTTGGATTTTTGATCACCCTGTATCAAATAATATGTATTTTATGTCACTGAATATACCTTAAAAAGTTAGGATAGGGACTGTAAGCCGTTTTCCTCGATTTCCAACTGTTTGGCTACAACAGCCACCTGAATTTGAAAAAAATTTGATTTTTGAGTAGCTGTAGATCCTTTACTATTCATATTAGATAACAAGTGTGATATATCATTGAAATCAGATTATCGAGCAGATTCTAAAAATATAAAAATATACAGGGTGTTCCATTTAAAAAACATAACTTTGATTTGGCACGGCCTTATGAAACACCCTGTCACATCGTAACTAATTTTAAAATGTGAAGCTTAAAGCTGCCTACTTTTATTATAACAGATCTACAGAGCTTCCTCACACTAATCAATCACCCTGTATACTATTTTTAGCTCTCTAAATAAAATTTAAAAATTTAGTTCCCATTTATTTATTATGAAGACCATAAGGTTTGTATTTAGCTGTTTAGAATAAAAAAGTAAAAATATGTATTTTTTTGGCGTTTTTGTGTTTCATGGATAATTTTTTTCGCTCACTGATAAAAATGTTTCTTCAGTTAAACATTATTTCTAAAAGTGTTCTGGTGCGATTCGTTGTATTGTTATTATTTTGTTTAAAATGGCTCACAATAACTACAATAATGATTACACATTCGGCGAAATGACGGACATGCACTTATGTTTTGGACTCGCTTCTGGAAATGCCAATGAAGCTCGCAGACTTTATCAGGAGCGCTTTCCAAATAGGCATCTTCCATGCGCTAAGACGTTTTCTAGAATTGACGATAGACTTCGGGAAACTGGTACATTTAAGAAAAACTCTAGTAACAGTGGAAGACAAAATTATGTGAGAACTCCTGCTTTGGAAGAAGCAATTTTGGATAGGGTAGCTGAAACCCCATCGACAAGTACCAGAAAAATAGCAAATGGTAAGTAATTACTTATTTATTATTTTAGCTACCCCGTACCTTATCGTATAAAACTAGTTTTTTTACTTGTTATTGCTTCTCTTACATTTCACGACTTTTCGTATCGAAAAGAGTTGCGTTATGCAGAAAAAATCTGATTTCCCAAATCAATGGATTCTCTTTCTTAACTATTCACTACACAGATTCTCTCATTTAATTTCAGAAGTGGGAGTCGGACGTAACACGGTATGGAAAGTTTTGCGTGAACAACAATTGTACCCTTACCACATTCAAAAAGTTCAGGCACTTAAAGCTACTGATTATGAGCCGCGAGTTATCTTTTCTGAATGGTTTCTTGGAAGATGTAATCAAGATGCAATGTTTCTTAATAAAGTGCTATTTACCGATGAAGCTGGTTTCACTAGAGATGGTATAATAAATTTTCGAAATATGCATGAATGGGCTGAAGATAACCCTCACGCGGTTGTTGAACGTCACCACCAGGATAAATTTTCAATAAACGTCTGGGCTGGAGTTATTGATAATTACCTTATTGGACCATTTGTTTTGCCGAATAGGTTAAATGGAGCAGCATACAGGCTTTTTTTGGAAAATAACTTACATGAGCTTCTTGATAATATTTCGATTCAAATCAGACATAACATAATAATAATAATAACTTTATTTAGAATATATAACGGTACATACAATAGTGTATAATTACATATAAAATTGTTTGTAAATAAATAAAGTTGGTAGAGACTCTGGAAGTGTATAAAACACTTGTGTCGAGCTCATAGGAAAAAATTGGGTTCGTTAAATTTATATATATATAAATCAAATAATAATAATTATTCTAAAACTAAAAATATATGTGGTTTATGCATGATGGAGCTCCACCACATTACAGCCTTGAAGCTAGACAGCACCTTAACGAAAGATTTGAGGGTAGAGTAATTGGCAGAGGTTGTCCTGTTAACTGGCCACCTCGTTCACCAGATCTAAATCCAATGGATTTTTTTGTTTGGGGTTATTTAAAATCATTGGTTTATTCCAGTCCTGTTGAAACAGTTGAAGAATTGGAAGAACGAGTTTTTCATCATTGCGAAGTTCTTAGGAATAATCCTGAAGTATTTTTTCGTGTAAGACAGTCTATGATGCGACGGTTGCGCTTGTGTGTGGAAACCAATGGTCGCCACATTGAGCATCTGCTTTAATTTTTTTTGATTTGTTTTTTTAGAATAAATATTTTTTTAAACCGTTTCTTATTATTAAATAAAAATAGTCCCACCACGACATTTGAACTACAATTATTTAGAGAGAGCTAAAAAAGTTATTTTTATTTACGAGATTCACCGAGGTAATTTAGGAAAATTGAAAATTAAGCTAAAGTGGACGAATATCTTTGGATGATGTTTTCTCGGAAACGGCTGCTCCAATCGAGATCAAACAAGTATTCCTTTTTGACGTAGTTTTCAATGTAGAATGTAAAAAAAAATATGGATAAGTCATTACCAAAAACACAAAAAAGTTATGAATAATCAAAATTTTCAAAAAATTCCCAAGTACACCCCTGACGAAATAATTTCTTTTTGAAGGTGTCGAAAGGTCACTATTATTGATCATATTTAACAGCCAAAATTTGGTTCTTTTATTTGTTTCCATTTTTAAGAAAATTCAAAAAATCAAAATAAAAAAAATGATTTCGAGAGGCTGTTGCTCGCTTAGGGGGCACTTTAGGACATAGGTCTATAGGAACTTTTTTTCCATTTTTTGGTAAAGGAATCTGCCTGAGAATTTTGGGACACATTTTAAAGGACACCCTGTATTATAAAATTTTACAATAATAAGGTTTATTTGAATAATTATGTACAAAAAACTTACTTTCATAAGCTGTGATTCCACTGAACCTTTAAGTTCAGGCCATAAAATCTTCAGAGCTTCTGGAGCCAACCTGGATATAGCCTTGTTGATCAAAGCACCGGTATCAGGGTCATTCATCATATTTTCGAAGTTATTCTGAAAAATATAGAAAGTTAATTAGTCTAATCAACAAGTTCAAAAGCGTGTTTTTGGGATATACTATTACGAAAATTATGTTCAATAGCTCATTCGATTCGGAATAATGTCTAGATCAATGTGTGAAGAAAAATTTTGCAGTGCATAAAAAATTGCAAAAGTTATAAACAATTAAACACCTCAAAAACATGGTGTTTGGTTTTTCGCCTATAGTTTGTAAACTATAAATATTTTTGGATTTTTCAAAAAAGATCCTTAAAGAGGAGGAAATTTGCTATAAATAAGTTTTAACTCCCGGAACTGTACCTCCATTATTTATAATTTTAATTTAACGCTCAAAGTAGCCTTCCGCGCGCCATTTTTAGGTTGCGCGCACGACGTCGAAACCGAGTACGTTACATAAAATAATTTGTTTAAGTTAATAAAATTAAATTCAAAAATTTTAAAAAATTACGGTGTATTCTAAACACCTAGAAAAATTCATTCCCATTGGAATTTTTCATAAAAATTAATTTTCCAACAAAGTAGGTTATTGTTAATTAACAAAATTTATAGTATTTCTCTCATCATTACAAATTGATAAAAATATTAAATAAGCAGATAGACTAAGTTCATACGGGGCCACATAGGGAATTCAATGTGTAAGAGTGAGAGGTACATATTCAGTAGGTAAGAGTGAGATAGACGGTCTGAGGGAAAAACGGGATAGTGGGGGATTAAATTTCGTTTAACGTCAAATAGAAAAAGCATGCGTAGAACGAAAAGACCGAAGGGCCTTAGTGTATATCTCAGCTATCGTTGGTCCGATTTAAACGGGGAAAACGGGGTTATGTAGAGAACGTGGTATAGATTACAGTAATTTTTTTTTGCTTCGAGGAGCTCATTTTATGTACAAATAAAACAAAATAGCTTCATAAAAGTTTAAAAAATGTTAATACTTTGTAATAATTTTTTAAAGTTTACAAAAACAGAAAAGTCACAGTGGTGCTATAAAAAAAACATTACTGTTTTAATGTCGAGAAAAGACATTTATTAATTGAAAAAAAATTTTTTTCCTCCATTTGTTTATAAATTTTTTATAAACAAATGGAGTATTTAAATTTTTTTCAAAATTTTTTTTACAACTTTCTAGACAATTGCCAATTATGATTTAAAAAAAAAATTTTTTTTTCTTAATAATAACTTTTAATTGTTTATAATATAATCTATTTTAATATATCTATTGTTTAAATTATTAGTTAAGAAATGTGTTTTTTTTTAATCATAATTGACAGTCCTCTACAAAGTGACAGCAAAACATTTTTTTAATTTATAATTCCATTGTGTATTAAGTTAACAATTTGTTATAAACAAATTCCCAACTTTGGTTTATTTTTTCCTGAAAGAAATAAAAATTCCAAAAACGACTTAGTGCATTAAAATTACGGAAAAAATTTTATTCCATTTTTTATTAAACTTTGAAAATATACGTACTATCAAAGTTGCAGCAGCTGATCCATTTGTTGACTTAAAAGTTGATATAACTTTTAAACTATTGGAGATACGACAATAAGGCAATTAAATTATCTCTCAGATAAGTCATTTGTCAATTCCGTACCTATTGTCAAGTTGTTGTTTTTTATATTTGTTTATAAAAATTGATTTTTTTTAAGTTTAATAAAAAATGCATGGAATAAAATTTTTATTTTATTTTAATACACCAAGTCGTTTTTGGAATTTTTATTTCTTTCAGGAAAAAATAAACCAAAGTTGGGAATTTGTTTATAACAAATTGTTAACTTAATAAACAATGGAATTATTAATAAAAAATTTTTTTTGCTGTCACTTTGTAGAGGACTGTCAATTATGATTTAAAAAAAACACATTTCTTAACTAATAATTTAAACAATAGATATATTAAAAAAACGATTATAAACAATAAAAAAATATTATTAAGAAAAATTTTTTTTTTAAATTATAATTGGCAATTGTCTAGAAAGTTGTAAAAAAAAAATTTGAAAAAATTGAAATACTCCATTTGTTTATAAAAAATGTATAAACAAATGGAGGAAAAAATAGTAATATTATAATAAATTGAAAAAAAAAAATTTTATAGCACCACTGTGACTTTTCTGTTTTTGTAAACTTTAAAAAATTATTATAAACAAAGTATTAACATTTTTTAAACTTTTATGAAGCTATTTTGATTTATATGTATATAAAAAGAGCTCCACGAAGCAAAACAAATTTACGGTACCTAATTATTTAATATTTTTATCAATTTGTAATGATGAGAGAAATTCTAAAAATTTTGTTAATTAACAATAACCTACTATGTTGGAAAATTAATTTTTATGAAAAATTTCAACGGGAATGAATTCTTCTAAGTGTTTAGAATACACCGTAATTTTTTAAAATTTTTGAATTTAATTTTATTAACTTAAACAAATTATTTTATGTAACGTAGTCGGTTTCGACGCCGTGCGCGCAACCTAAAAATGGCGCGCGGAAGGCTACTTTGAGCGTTAAATTAAAACTATAAATAATGGAGGTACAGTTCCGGGAGTCGAAACTTATTTATAGCAAATTTCCTCCTCTTTAAGGATCTTTTTTGAAAAATCCAAAAATATTTATAGTTTATAAACTATAGGCGAAAAACCAAACACCATGTTTTTAAGGTGTTTAATTGTTTATAACTTTTGCAATTTTTTATGCACTGCAAAATTTTTCTTCACACATTGATCTAGACATTATTCCGAATCGAATGAGCTATTGAACATAATTTTCGTAACAGAATGTCCCAAAAACACGCTTTTGAACTTGTTGATTAGACTAAATTCGGTTATTTAGGGTTTATAAAAAGTTTTTAAAAATTAGAATTAAAAAAACATTATTAGATTTAGAAAAGTTAGTGGTAAACGATAAACAGCAGTAAGTAGAGATAAATCGCTATCTAAAAGGGAAACTTGTAGGTAGAGAGAGGTATAAAATAGATATAAAACAAAGAGAGATATGATTGTTTACAAAATTTATGAAGCCAATACGGGTTCACATTCTTATGTGTCCTTGGCAGAGATGCAATATTCTGATTGTCCATTGATGCCAAGTTTACAGTGTTTTTACCAGTAATAATGTAAGTAGTTTAGCTTGCAATATTGTTTAATCTTTAAATTATCGGAAAAAATTTATGTAACGCAGTTACACTCGACGATATTTGTAAGAGGGTCGTAAAATCCGTTTCAGTAATAAAATTTCTTCGAGCATTGTAATGCTTTGTCAGTTGCAGCTTTTTTTATGAAAAGTATGTTTTTTTTTTGTTTTTTAATTGTTTATAAGTGATTAAATAGGAGATACCTATATCAACAACTGACGAAGTACTTCGGCTACTCTAGTTTTTGGAATAAGCAACTGTCTTTTGATTTCGGAACCATCATCATTATCTAGTACTCGCTTTAATACGCCTTCTTCCAGGATAAAAAAAGTCCCACTGTGCCTAATATGACTTAACTACTGGAATCTGGAAAGAGATTTGATTCTTCTTGCCAAGTAGGTCGACGATTTTCCTCTTTCTAATGTCGCATCTTCTTTAAAACGGAATTGTTCTCTTGTTCTTCCCTAAGTTTGGCAAGAGCCCACTCATTGTTGACTACAGTTGTTCTTAATAGTCCACTTTCTTTTGATACTGCGTTATTGCAGTGAGAGCAGTCTGCTGGACACGGTCTCCTAGAACATGAATTGACATTTCTGTGACTTATTCCGGATCTATGTTCGGCCTCAAAGTAGTACTCTTGAAGTCGTTCAATCCATCTGGCGATTTGACCCTTCGGGTTTTTGAACTTAAAGGTTGCATGATCGGTACGGATTAAGAATTTCCTTACATATAGGTGTTAGTAGAAGTGTTATACGTATTTCACAACTACCAGGAGTTCTCTTTTCGTAACGCACTAATTTCGCTCAGGTTTCAAGAGCACTTAACTAAAATAACACAGTTTTCCTTCTTTCCCTTCTAAAATTGGCATTAGTATCTAGAATAAATCCTCCCTCTGGTAGTGGGTAAGCTAGTATTGGCTCTGTTGTTAAATGCTTCTTTAATGATTTAAAAGTAGTTTAGCTATCTTCGTCCCTTGCGTTTACTGTGAGTTGTGTTAATGGCTTACAATATCGGCTAAGTTCCTTATGAATCTTCGGTAGTACGTACAAAACGCAAGAGAACTTCTTATTTGATGTTTATCAGTGGTAATTGTTTGATGAAAACGACTTTCTCCTTATCGGCAGCCACGCCATACTTGCTGACTAAATGACCCAAGTAATTAACTTTATTTTGAAATAGCTGGCATTTCATAGAGTTAAGCATCACTTGGGCAGCTTAAAGTATTTTAAAAACATCTTCTAAGTTCTTTAGATGTTCATCAAATATCTTCCCCCAAGACTATGATCTCGTCTAAATACACCAGGTATGTTTTCTAGGATAATCCTCTCAATACATTTTTCTTAAGTCTTTCAAATGTAGCGGGGGCATTACATAGTTCATATAGCATGACATTAAAAGGCCACAATCGAGATCCGGTAGTAAAAGCTGTTTTTTCTTTATCTACTGGGTCCTTTTTAACCTGCCAATATCCAGACTTCAAGTCTAAGGCAGATAATAAATGTCTTTCTAGATAACATTGTTCAACTGACGGTAATCCACACAAAGCAATAACGAGGCTAAGCGAGGTACAAAGACTTGCCTGCCTCGGAATAACGGGGGCAATGAAAACAACCCCCACTGTTGCAATGGAAGCACTAATAGGACTCCCACCTCTTCACTATATGATAGAAGGGAAGGCAAGATTAGGTACTTACAGATTAGGGAATACACTGGGAATTCTTGACATTAGGCCAGGTCACATGAGTATCTCAAGGTTAGTGACAGGAGACGTGCTAGACATGAGATCAGACCACATAACCAAGAGATACTCTTTTAATACTCCATTTGAGGTTTTATTACAGGAAAGAGCGGATATCACCATAAGGGAGCC